ACGTCCAGGCAGCAGCGTCGTCGACGTGGCATCCCTTCTTGGAGGTGCTGCTTGGTACGCGGCGGATCGGAGCCTTGGTTTGTGGTGGGTCGATTCTGGAGGGCGCAACGGTGGCGGGTCATCCGCGCTTTGTCGAACTGCCGTTGTTGGCATTTCTTTCTTCTTCTTTGTTCTTTCTCTTTTCTTTTGGGCTTGTTGTGCTTCTCGTCCGAGCATTGCTCTGTGATCAGTGTTGGTTGCTTTGTAATACAAAAGCGGGGGGAAACCATTTTTCGATACACAGGATGCATGGCCCACAATTAGTCCAATCACTCTTTTCCAGGCAGTCAACACTCCAGACCTTGTTTTGAATAGCAAGCCACACAAAGAACTTAACCTTGGGGGAGGCAAACCTTCCAAACGGTCTTGCTCATTGTGGATAGTATAGACTGCTCCCATGAACTGTGCCTTCTAGGAAGATGCTGCCAAGTACTCTCTGTTCGTCGACAATCTCCATGTCATGCGATCCTCAATCTCCTCGCGCGGCTGGACATGACTCACAAGGGTCCAGAGGTCAACATACTCGAAAATGTGCTTAATAATGAAACCATGAGATTTTCAATCTTCCCAATCCACGCATTATTCCGAAGAGCCTTCTTCGTCTTGGAGCAATGACGGAGCTTCATGGGGGCCAACCTGGGCGGTGCCCCCCTCCTCCCCAGCCCAAGAAAAAATCACCTACCACTCCTTAGTTTTTGTGTCGTAAGTTAAGTAAAAACAGACTAAACCTCATAATTATGCCCCCCTTAGTCCATTGCCCCTCCAAATATTTGGCCCAAGCTCTACCACTGTCTTGGAGGCGGCAAAAATGAGGGATGCAATGTCCTTGTGCTTTCTCCCTTGTAAGCTTGTAGCCACAGAGAGTCCTAGAAAGGTGCCTTGCCACCATTTTAAATGCCAATGGTGGTGGACTCATAAAAATGGGTCATGTCTATCTCGTCGCACGGATTCCCCATACATTCCCCATACCAACCCACATCTGACTCGGATCCTCCCATTAGAGCCAAGGCCACCCTCAACCTGAGAGTATAGGCAAACTTCTCCATGTGTAGAATCCCCAAACCCTAAATGAGGTGGGGCGGCAAACCGTCTCCCAATTAACTTTGCAATTCGCCCTGAAGGCCTTATCCGTTGCCGCCCAA